TAGGTAGGCCTGTTTGCTATGAACTTCTCTCTCAGGACTGCCTTCACTGTTTCGCATAAGTTTTTGGATTGTTGTGAGTTCAGTTTCATTTGTTTCCAGAAAATTTGTAAATTTCTTCCCTAATTTCATTCTTGACCCACTCATTGTTTAATAGCATACCATTCAGTCTCCATGATTTTTGGTGCTTTGGGTTTTTTTGGGGGGGGTTTGTTTCCAATTTCAGTCCCTTGTGGTCAGAGAAGATGCTCGGTATGATTTCAATTTTCTTGAATTTTTTGAGGCTCGTTTTGTGTCTTATCATGTGGTCTATCTTTGAAAATGTTCCGTGTGCATTTGAAAAGAATGTGTATTTAGGTTCTTTGGGATGAAGGGCTCTATATATATCAGTTAAGTCCATTTCATCTAGGGTGTTGTTTAATGCCACAATATCTTTGTTGATAATTTGTTTGGAAGATCTGTCTATTTTTGATAGTGGGGTGTTGAAATCTCCTACTATAATTGTGTTGCTGTCAATATCTTTCTTGAAGTCCTCTAAGATTTTCTTGATATATTTGGGTGCCCCTATGTTTGGTGCATATATGTTTACAATGTTCATGTCTTCTTGGTGGATTCTTCCCTTGAGTATTATGAAGTGACCTTCTGGTTCTCTCTTTATGGCCTTTTTTTTTTGAAGTCGATTTTGTCCGATATGAGAATTGGTACCCCAGCTTTTTTTTCTTGCCCGTTTGCTTAGAAACTTGTTTCCAGCCTTTCACTTTTAGTCTGTGATGGTCTTTTGTCCTGAGGTGGGTCTCTTGTAGGCAGCATATGTGTGAGTCATGCTTTCTTATCCATTGGGCTACTTTATGTTTTGATTGGAGCCTTTAATCCATTTACGTTTAAGGTTATTATTGAAAGGTACTTATTCATTGCAATTTTTGTATCTGTGTTCCTCTCTGTCTCTCTCTTTTCTTTCCTTCCCTTAAAGCAGTCCTTTTAGTATTTCTTGTAGAGCTGGTTTGGTGGAGGCGTATTCTTTTAGGCTTCTTTTGTCTTGGAAGCTCTTTATTTGGCCATCTATCTTGATTGAGAGCCTTGCTGGGTAAAGTAGCCTTGGTTGCAGGCCTCTGGTTCTCGTTACTTGGAATATTTCTTGCCATTCTCTTGCTTGAAATGTTTCCATTGAGAAGTCAGTAGCTAACCTTATTGGGGCTCCCTTGTATGTTACTTCTTTTTTCTCCCTTGCTTCCTTTAAGATTCTCTCTTTGTCTTGGAATTTTGCCATTTTGATGATGATGTGTCTTGAAGTGGGCCTCCTTGGATTCCTCTTGATTGGGACTCTCTGTGATTCTTGGATTTGTGAGAATTTTTCTCTTATCAAATTAGGGAAATTTACTCACATTAGTCGTTCAAATACGTTTTCTATCCCTTGTTCTTCTTCTTCTCCTTCTGGTATTGCTATTATTCAGATATTATTATGTTTCATATTGTCTTGCATTTCTCTTAATCCCTCTTCATTCTTTCTGAGCCTCTTTTTATTTTCTTGCTCTTTCTGTGAGATGCTTTCTACCTTGTTCTCCAACTCACTAATCCTATCCTCCGCTTCATCTATCCTACTTTTGAAACTTTCTACTGTGTTCTTCCATTTGGAAATTGTATTCTTCATTTCCTCTTGTCTCTTGTTGATAGTTTCCATTTCCTTTTTCATGTTGCTGTAGTTTGCAGAGAGATCATTGTAGTTCCCCTGTAGTTTCTGGTAGTTCACTGTGAGCTCTTTGAACTTCATAATAACCAGTGCTTTGAATTTACTATCTGATAGTTGATCAGCCTCTATTTCATCTAACATTGTTTCTGAAGTTTCTGCTTTTTCTTTCATTTGGGGATTGTTTCTTTGTCTTCCCATTGTTTGAGACTCTTCTCGTTAGTCTCTGCTTCTAAAACTGATCTGTTCTGAAACCCTGGTTTTATGGTGTGAACTTCTGTGGTATGATCCTTGTGAAGTTCAGTGGTGCAGACTCCTTGAAGTTTCCTGATGTTCTTCATCTCCACCTACTCTCGCGCTGGTCCCTGCGTTGGTCACCTACCACTGCTGAATGTCCTGGCTCTAGTAGCCGCCTTCTCAAGCACCCAGGCCTGTTACTACAGCAGCGGCACAGAGGCTGGGAATGTCCCGGCTCCCGTATCTGGCTCCTCTGCTGCCCAGGGCCGTCACAGGGGTTTGGAGTGTCCCGGCTTCCGTACCTGATTCCCCAGCGTCCAGTCCCGTCGGTAAGGCAGCAACACAGAGGCCGAGAATGTCCCAGCTCCAGTTCCTGACTCCTCTGTCTCCCAGGACCGTCACAGGGGCTTGGAGTGTCTGGCTCCCGTACCTGACTCCCCAGCTCCCAGGCCTGTTGCTCTGGTGCAGCACAGGGTCCGCGTGAGACCCAGCTACAGTAGCTGACTCTGCCGCTGTCTGGTGTTTCAGCATCGATCACAGTCTCTGGTCTTTTAATTTCATAAATGCTGGGTAACCGATGGTTTATTTTGCTGTTTCTGTATAGATCTGCAAGGATTTTCACCCATGAGTACAGGAGCTATCATCAGCTCCATCTTATTCCGTCGCCATCTTCCCAGCATTTCTCTCTCTCTCTCTTTTTAAAGCAGACCCTTTAGCATCTTTTGCAGAGGTGGTTTGGAGGAGTTATATTTTTTGAGGCTTCTTTTGTCTGGGAAGCTCCTTATTTGGCCTTCCATTTTAATTGAGCGCCTTGCTGGGTAAAGTAGTCTTGGTTGCAGGTCTCTGGTTTTCATTACTTGAGATATTTCTTGCCATTCCCTTCTGGCTTGGAGTGTTTCCATTGAGAAGTAAGCTGCTAACCTTATCGGGGCTCCCTTGTATGTTACTTCATGTTTCTCTCTTTCTGCCTTTAAGGTTATCTTTTTGTCTTAGAATTTTTCCATTTTAGTTATGATGGGTCCTGAAGTGGGCCTCTTTGGGTTTCTTTTAATTGAGTCTCTCTATGTTTCCTGGATTTATGTGGCTTTTTCTCTCATCAAATGAGAGTTTTCCCTCATTACTTTTCAAATATGTTTTCTATCCTTTACTGCTTTTCTTCTTCTCCTAGTGTCCCTGTTATACAGATATTGTTACATTTCATGTTGTCCTGCATTTCTCTTAACCCCTGTTTGTTCTTTCTGAGCCTCTTCCTTTTCTTGCTCTTTTGGGTGTTTTTTTCTACCTTGTTTTTTTTCTACCTTGGTCCTACCTTTTTTTCTACCAGCTCACTGATCTGATCCTCCACTTCATTGGACCTGCTTTTGATGCCTTCTACTGTGTTCTTCAGTTCAGAAATTGTATTCTTCATTTCCTCTTGGCCCTTGTTGATAGTTTCTATTTCCTTTTTCATGTTGATATAGTTTACAGTGAGTTCATTGTAGTTTCCCTGTAGTTTTTGGTAATTCTCTATGAGCTCTCTGAGCTTCCCTATAACCATTTCTTTGAACTCAGTATCTGATAGTTGACTTGCTACCATTTCATTTAGCATTCTTTCTGAGGCTTCCCCTTTCCTTTTATTTGGAGATTGTTTCTTTGTCTTCCCATTGTTTGCGAGACTCTTCTTATTAGCCTGTGCTTTTTAAATCGATCTGTTCTAACTCCCTGGGCTCATGGTGTGAACTTCTATAGTAGAAAACATGTGAGATTCACTGGTGCAATCTCCTTGATCTCTTGAGCTCACTGGTCTTGGGCCGTTGTTTATGTTGGCTCTCTGTATGTCTTTGGGTTTTGATTGTCCTTGGGTCTTTCTTTGGTGGGTCCTTCCCTTCAGCTGGTTAGCTGAGAGTCACTCCATCCACTATGTCTTGTATTCTGTTGTGCAGGTATGGACAGATTGTGTTGAAGCTGGTTCTTCTGTCTGTAAGTTGTTTTGAGGCTTCTTTCTTGTTGTTATTCAGTTGTTTGTTCTGGGTTATTTCTCCGCCATTTTGTTGTATTTCCAGATTGGTCCTGGGTTGAGATTAGTATGGCTCCCACTCCCTCCTTCACCTTCTTCCATCATTATCTGTTGGTGGGTTTCCTCTTAAAACTGTTTTAAAAACCATAGAATAACAGTTCAAAATTCGTATTATGAGGCTAGCACTAATCTGCCAGACAGGGAAAGGGTCCTCAGGAGAAAACAATCTAGCCCACAACCTGATCTCAAAATTTGAGGTTCCAGAACTGGGTTTTGGGTTCATACCCTGATAAGGGAGGGTATACAAAAAGCAAGTGATCAATGTTTCTCTCTCACATTGATGTATTATGTCTCTCTGTTTCTCTCTCTCTTCCTCCCTTTCTGGGGTTCCAGCAAAGATGGGAGCAGATTGTCATGGAGATACCTGAGGGGAGACTGGGGAAAGAAGCTTTGTGAAGAGTGCAGAGAGAGTACCCACAGGGAACCCAGTGCTATCACAATGATCTTAAAGTAAATTGCAAAATATAGAGGGTGGACACAGTAGTTTTGCAGTTTTTTTGTGCAGAAAATAATGCGATAATTAATAAATAATACAAGAACAAACTCTGTGTTTTGCATACTCACACCTATAAACTATATTTAAGCAATCACAGGCTGGATTCATTTCCTTATCATTGTCTGCCTTCACCCCACTGAAAGGAGCAAGGTAACTTCTCTGGCCCAGCTTCCACCTGTCCCCAACCTCTCTCCTCCAGCTGTCCAACTCTGCCATCCTTTTCAATTGCAGATCTGACTTCCTAGAGTTCCCAGACCATCACCTTTTTAACAACAAGGACCTTTCTCTTGTTTATTGCTGTACATATAAATTTTTAAATTTCCCTTTTATAGTGAAATCTTCATGTAAGTTGATTCTTTTAGCAATCTAAGTTGTGCTTCTTTTTACATAGAATATGTTAGAAAATAGGTGAAAAAGATTCCCAGACTTTAAAAAAAACAATATTGTAATTACAAATTGAAATTTGGTGGTGTTGAGTATTAATCTTCATTATCCACTGCCTCTTTATGTTTCTTTACTGCTGTTCACAGAGAGGAAGAGACGAAGTTTGGAACTGATCCCTTTGACTGCCAAAATGGTGATGGCCCACCTGGTGAACCACCTGGGACACTTCCCCCTCCATGGGGGTCCGGCTGTGTTGCACAGCCTGGTCAGTGAGAATCATGACAACACACTTGTGGAAGCTTCTGAGCTCTCCTCCGAGGTGTTCAGGAGTCCAAACCTGCAGCTGTTTGTATTTAATGATAGCACCCTCATCTCCTACCTTCAGACGCCCACAGGAGGACTGGCAGGCATCTCACCAGTGGGTGCCCTCTCAGATGTGAGAGTAATTGTGAGGGACATCTCGGGAAAGTACTGCTGGGATGGGAAGGTTTTGTATGGACATTTAGAAGGCTGCTTAACACCCAGCAGCAGAAATCCTTCATTTCTAATTTCGAGCTGGCGTCATCAAATGTTTGGACCTCAGAGAGATTTTTCTCAGACCGAGGAGGGAGATGATGTCCTTGACAAATTACTTGAAAACATTGGTCATACTAGTCCTGAATGTCTTTTACCATCACAGCTAAATCTAAATGAGCCTTCCCCACCCCCACATGGAATGAACCATGACCAAGAGAAGGAAATCATCAAGGTCATTTTGCACCAGAATGCACAAGAAGATGAATATGTTGAGAGGAGTAACTCTGATTCAGCCCTGAGAGTCCCCAGTCAGGAGCAGCCCTCACCAGTGGAACCCCAGGGACCCTTTTATTTTTGCAGGTTGTTGCTTGATGAGTTGGGAATGAATTCTTGGGACAGAAGGTAACAATTCACCCTAGACCTTTAACTATTTTGTTGTTATTTTTGTGTGATTATTCTTCTTTATCAGATTGGAGTTGGGGAAGCAGAGTATAGAAAGGGAAGTTTGTCTTTTTTACAACATTCTGCTGCTGAATTAAAGCTAGAAACTATGCTATACTGATGCACAGATTGATTCCAAACATCCGGTATATATTTTAAAAGGCATCATACATTTTCCAGTGAAAGGTGGCATGACACAGTAGTTCAGGAGGAATAGTTTAGTCCAATGGAAAGTGTGATTCAATGGAGAAGACTCTGTGGAAGTGGGTGGATATGAGCTGGACCCTGACAATGGAGTAGAGTGTTTAAGGACAGAGGTAGGGGAAAGAGATTATTAGTAGAGCCAACAGTGAAAAAAACAGGCACAAGTACAAGTCATATACTCACCATAGAGCCATCCAGTGGCACTGGATTGCAGTGGAATATGGTGGAAGTTTGCTACCTTTGAGTGTGGTAAGAATAGAGTTCATTCTGTGGCTGTGGTTACAAATCTTTTGTTCATGCTCGAATGGGTAGATGGGTGAATGGATGGATGATAGGGAGGGTTGTCAATTGATTGACCAGAAATGGAAAAATTGGTCTGTGATTACATGACTTTTCTTCCATCCCTTTTTCTTTATAGGAAGAATTTTCATCTGTTGAAGAAAAATTCAAAATTACTGAGAGAGCTAAAAAATCTAGACTCCCGTCAGTGGTATGTGAAAGTTTATAACACCACTTTATTCCCCTCTGTCTTTGTGTGTCTTAGATCAGGGGTCTCAAACCCCAGGCCATGGACCAGTATTGGTCCGTGGCCTGTTAGGAACCAGGCCACACACAGCAGGATGTGAGTGGTGAGCTGTGAGCAAGCAAAGCTTCCTCTCTATTTACAGCTGCTCCCTATCACTCGCATTACCAGCTGAGTTCTGCCTCCTGTCAGATCAGTGGTGGCATTAGATTCTCATAGGAGCCTGAACCCTACTGTGAACTGTGCATGCGAGAGATCTAGGTTGTGATAATCTAATGCCTGATGATCTGAGGTGGACCTGAGGCAGTGATGCCAGCCCTGGGGAGGGGCTGCAAATGCAGATTATCACCCCCAACCCCCAGCCTCGAGTCCTTGGAAAAATTGTCTTTCACAAAACTGGTCTCTGGTTCCAAAAAAAGGTTGGGAACTACTGTCTTAGATGACAGATAACAGCTGCAGGAATTACTATACCTGCAAAAACACCCAAGGGTAGTTCTGTAACACAGAAGCTAGTGACATTTTACATGTCATTCTTCTGGTGTTTTTACCCTTGAGGAATAAGTTTACATACTTGCTTACACTAAGAAGAGATTGGCACTCCCACCTAATCTGTGCTTTTCATGTGGTAGCCAGTGGCCATTTATTCTCATTTAATCTCTGCAATCATCTCTCTGATGAGGAAGAGAACCTTACGTAGGCCTTTCCAGTGCTCTCACATTGTGTTGCTTGAATCCAGTGAGTCTGACTTCTTACCCCATGCTGTATGCTGATGCACTGGTATTCTACAGTTTCTGCTCTACAGTGTGGGCAAGGATAAAATCAGTTTGTTGTCATTGGTAACCTCCTAATAGTAAGCCTCATTTTCCAAAGCTGGTCAAATCTCAGTTCTCCCTCTTTTTCAAACAATCTTAGACATAATTCTAAAAATAGCTCACAACCAGTTTTTTATTTTGGGACATGAATGCTTCCAAAAAACATCACAATGAAGTAAATATACTTGGTACATAACAGCTACTCAAAAATCTTTAACAAACTACTTCCTTAATGTTTAGTTTTTAAAATATTTATTTAAAAATGTCCTTTGTTTCTTTTTTACTCTCTTTAAGAATATCATTAGGTCTCTCATTAGACTTGAAAAATCTGAAGCCATTATTCCTCATGTTGCCCTTCATCATATTCAGTTTCCCAATTGTTATTGTGCTTCTTTTTCTCTAGAGGAATAGATGCTGAACTCTCTTGGAAATTCTGTGAGGGTTTTTTTCTGAAGGACTTAGGGATTCACTGTCCTCTCCCTCTTGTCCTCCAGTATTAAATAAGCAGTCACTTGGGTTCCAAAACCTGCTTTTCAAGCATATGCTGAATTACTTCATGCTTCTTAGTATTAAGTGAATACATTGGTATCTTGTAATTGTGAGTGTTACTGAACTTTAGTTGCATGAGGTACAATTGAATTAGCTCCTTGGGGTGCTATTGCAGTAAAATATGGTTTTGGAGAGCTGACTGGCAAATCCTCCACCCCTTGATTAAAACCCCAACTCCTCTGCCTTCTACTTAAAATCCTAACTCCTGGTGCCTTCTTGACATCAAAAAAATATCAACTTTATGGTAAAGGGTGTTGTCAATGTTTTTTATTTTTATTAAGTGGAAATAATTCAGTACTCTTCAGCTACGAGAAATATAGACTGTGTCATATATTGGTCAGTTAGCAGGTAACATACCTTGTACCTCAACTTTCAATTCAGATGTTTCTAGTTATTTCTGTTATCAGTTTCTCTCTCTGCTGTCAAGGCATAATTCTTGCATAGCATGTACTGAGCAAAAGTAGAGGCTGTCTTGCAATCATTTATATCCTTTATATACTGTGAAGTTGGCAAAGATGTAAATAGTGTGATGTCTGTACATACAGATTATAGTGAGTTTCCCCTTTTAAATATTAATGCTTCTTGTCACCACACGATAAGGTGAAAGTTAAAATAGTTTCTTCTTTGCCTTTTTAATGTGACAGCATAGGGAAATTGAGCTAGCTATTCTGGTCTATTTGTAATAAGAAAGAAAAATGCATTCTAATGAAGAAGAGGAAATGGTTGATGTTATGTATGTATATTCCTGAATTACCTGCTCCTTCATGCATAGGTCCTACAGTTTATGGATATGAAGTGCTATTGATGTTGCTAATTATCATCTCAAAAGCCTGGCTCTCATAAGGCCAAACAACAGCTTCTGCATCCATGCACGCTCTCTGTGGTGCTAACATTTTGGAGGATGTGAAATTTGATTAATGTTCACAGCTAAAGGTCACCTTTCCTCACACCTATCCCAGGCAGGCAGTTATTGGGGCTTAGCTCCCTTATGCTCCCACATTTAGTTAATGAGGACTCAAGGATCTGTGAGCAGCTACAATGTAAAAAGTTTGGACTTTAAGGAGAATAAACAAAAGCATTTCAGATAAACCTACGATTGTTTTCATGTATGCAAAGTATATAGAATAGAGAAAAATTAAATACCGAGTACTTTTAAATATAGAGAGAGAGCTGCCAAAAGAAATTAAGTAACTATACTTTTTTCTTCTTTGTTGAAAGTGACAGTCTTTTAGGTTATGTTTATGGTCTCTAGTATCATCTGAGCCCCCAAATTATTATATCTCTAAGAATAAGGCAATTATATTCTAGGCTGCGTGTATACTCTGCCTATAATTCAGGGACTAAATGATGTCACCTTCAGAACTTCATACTGCATGAGGACAAGTTTACTGACAGTCTGGGAGCACAAGGTCTGTAATAAAGCACTGAGTCCCAGGGATCCATCCCCACAAAACTCAGCTCTCTTCATAACACCTGTTCTCATCAAGAGAGGCACCCCTAAGAATGTCTCATGCCACGCCAGTTGGGGTATTCACATTGTCCACCTTCTCCAGTGGCAGCAGGACAATGCACATCAAAAGCCTTAAAAATGGGCAGTGTTCAAGATCCTATTTCTATGAATTTATTTTAAAGACATATCAAAGACAATGAGAAAATCTCTCTAAAAATGGAAGCAACCTAAATGTCCTAGAATGAGGATTTGGTATGTAGTATATTAATATAATGGAATGTTATACCACCATTAAATAACTCAGTTATAGAAGTGCATAGTATTAAAGTGTTCACACTAAAAAAATGGTTCAAATGGAGAGTTGTATGTTATGTATATTTTATATAGTAAAGTGTTCAAAAATATTTTAAGTGGAAAAAATCAGTTACAAAACAGAATATAGTAGCTGCTCATTTTTGTACAAATATAGTAACAGTTAATATTCTTTGCTTATATATTCACATATCAAGTTTTTGTAATTTTTTGTAAAATTTTGCGGTTTGCCTTATATATTTATTACATGTAAACTATGGGGGTAGAAATGAATAAGCTAGCTGGATAAATAGGAGAGTACTCTCCTCCATTTATTTATATGACTTTTTGGTTGAATTGTAACTCAGTCTACTTATTAGTAAAACAACCAAAAACAAACTTCAGAAGGACATGCTTGAGAATGTCCTTGAAAATAAAATATGAAGCCCAAATTCCACCAATATGGATATCTATAACATGATTACAATGTTGAGATATTAAACAGACAATGGAAACATTTTCATATTGTTTATGCACTTAATAGTTTTTTCTATGCGATTTTTCAGAATGCAGTGCATAAATAAGGAGAGGGATGGAACTACTATAGAAGTGGTGATTCAAATTTTAGAAGATAAAAACTAGAGTAAAATAAAACTCTTGAATGATGAGACTGTGGAATGAATGATTATTGATTAAACCTCTGTTTCAATGAGAACCATATTTTTCATCTCTAAACTATTACCAAATTGCTTGGTATAGGTCCAGTTATTTTGACACTTTAGAGTATAATTTGTAGAAATTGGTCACTAACACATTTAAATATATCATCATATCTCTGGTCAGTTCATCAGAGATTTAACTGGGCACCTTTCCTCAAGGCTCATATTACGTTTACTGGTATTAACAGTAACATGGCCAAAACCCATCATGGAAAAGTGGATGAAGGGTCTATGTGGCCAAAGGGGTTTCCCTCCACAGCTCTTTACCCTACCAGGCACCATCAGATTCAGAGCACAAAGTGGGTATACCCCTTCACAAAGAAAGTATCTAAGTGTATTCTCCTTGGAAGAAGTTTCTGTTTTTCATCAGGTTTTGTGAGGCATGTTCTATAGTTCCAGTCACAGAACTATCCAGTTTCCCTAGCTCAAAGTTTAGAAATAATGAAATATGGGTAGCAACATGGATCTATTAACAGTTGATGTCTGTTTGAAATGCTTTCAAAGATATCTTCTGCCAAAAGTAGAGAGAACTTGTCAGTGTGTTATAACATGCTGTTAAGTATGCCATATGACTTTAGAGAGTGATCTCAAGAACTAGACTTCCCTGCTTCAATTCCCAGTCTCCAGTTTGATATATGTGCTTTTTAAAAACTTTCTGTGTCTCCTTTCATCCGTCTCCACACGGAGGTGATGATGATAATGCTTACCTCATTAGGGTAGTTGCAAAGAGTAAGTAAGATCCTGTGTGGTACCTTTCTAGAATAGTGACTGACTCCTAGTAATTTCTTAGTAAATGTAAGCTCTATAGTAGAAGTCATGCTGGTGGTAGTAGTAAAGTAAAATTTTATATATAAGAATTCTCACTCCTTTAAATTTAAAAATTTATAGCCGTGAAACGCATAAAATTGCAGTGTTTTACATTGCTGAAGGTCAAGAAGACAAGTGTTCGATCCTCTCCAATGACAAAGGAAGTCAAGCGTATGAAGAGTTTGTTGCTGGGCTTGGATGGGAGGTAATTCATTTTATTTAATAGGTACTTGTTGACCAGCAGTATTTGAAGATGTATGTAAACTATATTACATATAGTTTGTATGTATATACAAACTATATTACATATAGTTTGCCTGTTTGTACAGGCAATCAATATCTGATTGATTACCTGTGTTTTTACATATGTTCTTTACATACAACTATAGCATGAGTAGAGTTCTGGAGTTAAAGAATGTATTAAATTTAATATCTTCTATTAGGTTTTTAGTACTTTATGCATGAACTTTTATTTTCCCCTTAGCTTTCCTTTTAACATTATTTCATTTACTCTTTATCAGAACTGAATGAATAGTCAGATCAGGTCACATCAGCTCACATCAGTTCACCCAGCCATGGACAGTTTGTAGTTAAGAGAAGGCAAATATGGGCATAGAGGCAATGGCTTTGGCCACATTATGGAGAACAGAGAAGAAATCAGTGACGTGATAGATGAAAAGATGAAGAAAGAATTGACTGAAGTCAAAAGTTGGAATGAAAATAGAATATAGTAGCCATGAATGGTTTAGCTTTCAACCTGTTTTTCTAGGATAGGTCCCAGGATGACAAATAATGAAAAAAACATGTTCTTTTGGGTTTTTTTAAACTAAATGATACTCTGACAGACATATATACATTTTACATATGTATGCATATGCATATGTGTGTCTCCAGAAACACAATCTAAAGAAAAATATATTCCCAGAATCTAAAAGAATTCATAGTAATTAAAATGAAAATCAGCATATCTGAAATAATTTTTATTCTTACTACTTTTATTTTGGTTTCTTGGTTATTTATGCTGTGAGAAACTCTCTAGGTGTGTAAGAAAGACTTGTTTCTGAGAGTTGAGGTTAACAAGGGGACTGATACGGAGGTGGAGACAGGGTATTAGTACTTCAAGGTCAAGACAATGTACTTTCCAAAAGGTCAAATAAGTCTTGGTAAAAGAGTTGACAATGTACTTTCCAAAAGGTCAAATAGGTCTTGTTAAAAGAGTTGTTACACTTCTAACAAATAATTGTTCTTTTTACTAATAAGTTTACATCTTTATCATGCAAAATACTTAACTAACAGGTTTTTGAAAAAGTAATTTCTTGAGTTTTAACAAAAGATCAGAAAAGTAATTCAGTGTATATATTGGTTATATTTGGCACAGAAGAGATTCTTTTGTCTTTTTAACTATCTTTGAATAGTTGCTTCACTGAAAGAATACTAGTTTATGAAAAATTTAAAAACAAATCTAGGCACTAAGAAGTAAACATTCATATCATAGCTTAAAAAGAATATGACTCATAGTCTTTTGGCAGTGGTGTAAATTAGAACAACCCCTTTAAAAGGCGGTTTAGCAATGACTGTTAAATTTTGGAACACCTGTACCCTTTGACCCAACATCCTGTAGAAACACTGCTTTTAATGCTCCTCAGGTTTGACCAGCAGAAAACTCTGTAAAACCATCAATAGAGAAACTGTGTGTGTGCGTGTACATCTGCATACATAAATATATACCTACACACACATGTCCAGGAGGAGAAAAGTTAGAAAAATACACAGCTAATTTTTAATAATTGGTAGGATTATGGAATACTTTCATTATTAATGTTTCTTTAGTATTTTAATTTTGTCTAATTTTCTTTTTATCAGAAGCTATAGAAATGAACATAATTGGATATTTTGAAAATCCACATTCCTGCTTAGTGAATAAGAACAGCTGTTTAACCCTGATTCATTTTCCTCTTTGTGACCTATATCAGGTGGATCTCTCAACCCACTGTGGATTCATGGGTGGACTTCAGCGCAATGGCAGCACAGGACAGACTGCTCCTTACTATGCTACCTCGACTGTGGAAGTGATTTTCCACGTTTCCACTCGGATGCCATCAGACTCAGATGATTCACTCACCAAAAAGGTAAGGGGCCCTGGTTTGTAGGTGAAGCTCTCCTAGAACTGAACAAAGGCCATGGCATAACATTCATTGAACCAAGTTAACTCTGGATTCAACCTCAGTGTCACTCATCGCAAACTATAGTTGTAGTCAATCTGAAATATCCAGTATGTCACAAACTAGATAAAGATATATGTGAAAAACAATGTCTCATTTGAGTCTTAAATCCTGAGATTAAGAGTTAGGAAAAGGAAAGATCTTAAATGTCAGTACTTTTGGATTTTCTGTCACATGACTATTAACTGATAATAAGTAACAGTGTTGACCTCTCAGGTTGGCAAAGGTCATAAGATATAATGATACTATACTGGTGTAGCTCCAAGAAAGCAGGTACCTCTTAGGCTTGCTGTGGGGTAATTTGGCAATATCTGTCAAAATGATAACTGCAGGTGTATTGTCCAGTTGTCACACCTTTGGCACTGACCTTGTGTTCTCCTTCAAGTTGGCCCCGTGGACAGTTTTCTCTAGAATTCAAAGGAAACCTTCAGCCCTGAGGGAACTCCCCCCTCTTCCACAGGGGAACATGCCCTGTACTTTCCAATCTGCTGGATGTTCACTTCAGGTGACATTCTGTTAGAAGTGAGGAACACCTTAATAGAACAGGAATTTTAATTTGGGAGGAAGCCTAAAAATCTGACCCACGTTTGTGAGTTTCCAGATGAGAAGAACTTTGGCTAGCCTGCTAGTGAGTGGCAGAACCTGGAATTCCTACCTCACACCCACTGTGTTCCTACACAGATGCAAGGACAGTGCCCAGTTAGGTTGGAAAACAGATGCTGGCCCCCCTGGGCCAGGGAGTCTGGAGTGATTGTGATAGCCACAGTCTGAAGACAGAGAGATCTGGGCTCGAGTGTTTATCTAGTTACTTTACCAGCCTGTGCCTCAGTTTGCCCATCTGTTAAATGAGATTAACAACACAACCTATGTCACAAGGTTGTTATGAAGTAAATGTATAATAACTACAAAATTGTTTAGCACAATGCCTGGTAAGATTTCTAAACATTAGCTCTCATCATTGCACACCCATTGGTCTAATTGAGTCTTTTATTCCCCTGCCCCATTAGGCAGATGATTGATATTAGCTGATGGGCCTTACTATATCTGCTTTATTTCTTTCCTCTTCAGTTTTGCTTTTTCACTACTACAGCTCAGATCTCTGGACCACATTCATGGTGGCTGGCAATGAACCTGATAATGAGACCCCCGAACTCACTTCATGGCCAGTCAGGCAACTCTCACAGTGACGAATTATCTAGGATGCACAAAGCATGATTGGCTTTCACTTCTTGGCCCACATGCTGTCATTGCCTCTCACTGGCCATCAGCTGGCTCCCACAGATGTGGAGGAACTGCCTCCATGTCTTAGATTTTGATGGTTGCCCTAGTTGTGGTGTTTTTAGTAAAGGGGACCCAGGCCTCAGAGAATCTATTTCAGATTACCAAGATCTCAGGCAGGGTTTACACATGCATTTTATTTGCAGTACCATATAATTGCTGCTACTCTGCAAATGTATCACCACGACCATAAAATCATAAATTCTATGATTTTATGACCAAAAACTATTTCATTAAAAAACAGATTTATATATAAATTATTTTTTTAAATTACTTTCTAAGGAAAGAAGGATTATTTTTTTGAGAAAAGACTTAGTGTTTTCTTGATAAAATGTCATGTGATAAATAATGTTCCAAGGCTTGGCCTGCCTGAAAGATTCCCTACTGTAATAATCAAAATTCAGCTGATACCTTTTGCAACTCCAAGATTTAACATCATTAGTGACAAACTGTCTTTATTAGGGTGTCTCACAGCTAGACTAAAAATCAGTCACAGTAATAGCAGCCTACAGTTCCTTGTCTTATTCTAACTAAATTGTTGCTAACAGCTTAAAAATGAGCTGCAAAATTCTAAAGTGTTTCATGCTCTCTTGTGCCCCTGTCATGGAGGCAGTGTTTCAATTCTGCAATTTGGTTGCAACCCCATACTGAACTCTTGATCCTTCACTACAGAAATTTGTTAGCTCTAGCTAGATTAGATTTTTCACAGCTAATCTAACTGCTGTAGGGGTTTGCAGAGTGGAGGCAGAGCTGTGCTATTGGATTTGTCCAATTCATTTGACTCCAGGAATATAATTGCACTTATGTCTTACAAGGCTTTTATAGCCTCGGGCTGGCCAGCCACATAAAAAAACAAATTGGCAGTGATACAGTAAAAGTGAAAAGGGATGAAAGGCCCACATTATCAGTCTCCAGGCAGCACTGTTCTGGCAGGAAGTTTCTTGGTTAATTTACAAATAAAACTTAGATTTTAGGATGGGCACACTGTCAACTGAACAATGAGGATGTCAGGCCTGACTGTTACTTAGTAAAAGTAGCAGTCAGGCCCACTGAGGAGCAGGAATTCTTCAATCAAACAGATGACTCCTTCTGGAGCCAGCTGGTGATGTAATGCAATTAGTCGAGAAAAGAGGTCAGCCTTTTAGGTGTGCACCATGACCAGTGTCACCAGTGTATGCTGCCTAACAGCAGCAGGCAGAATGACCCAGGCAGAGGGACTTTAAAACTCTGTCAGGATGAGAAGTGGCAAGACATGTGCTTGATTTCTTAAGGCTTAAGAACTAAGCATTTGTTCTGAGCCTGTTGTGCAGTTGAAGTCGTAGCTGGATGAATGACAGCTCCATTCTAGGACAAGAATCCTCATTCTCCTCCCAGATTACACACCAGTCACATCACCTTAGTATGTGTGCACAGAACTCATTGATGAATCTCTGATTTGGGGCCTCTAATCCAAAATTTTCAAAACTCACAAAATGACATCACTATAATGAAGTCCCTTTAAATTGACCAACACTGAAGTTTCCAGGTTAATTTATTCATTTTACCTACTGGTATCGTCATTGACAGAAGTGGGTGTGTTTCTGCTATTTGATCCAGATTTATCAGCCAATTGTTCCTGTGATCTTAGCTCTTAGTTTGTGAGTTAGCTAGTTAAACTGTGATATGTGCAGAGGTCTGAGACATATGACATTGAAAGCAGCTTTGAGATGATGAATATTGTGTTATTATCACACAAAAGTAGCTTTTCCTCAATAACAGAATTGCCACACTGGGAGGATGGGTCTTTGGTATGATACCTTTCTTCCTTACTGTAGTTCTAAGAATACAATTGCAAACAAAATTAGGAAAGACTTACTTGGGTTATACAATTGAGTAACCTAATTTAGAAAAAGGAGAGTAACTGCAGAATTTCAATAATCACTATGTTACTTCTGAGCTAATGCCTTGCAACATATACTTCTGGATTGACAGGACAGGTCACACAGAGGCTGTTGACAATAGGTGGCTACCCCACATTTCAAAGATATTCAGTAGGTGGGTCGATTCTGTTAAGATGTTTGTGCCAGCATTATATCAACAGACCAACTTCCTTTGTAATTTTATAAAGGGAAAGGAGGCCATGTTATCATTACTTCTGATTTTTTCTTTGTGGTCAAGTAGTCTATAAAGAGAATGATATTTGCACTATTATGTTTTAAATAAAGAGTATTCTAAATCATCTTTTTTTAATATTCTAAGATAAAACTAGAATATTAGCTTTGAGATAATATTTGAATGCCTCTCAACTTAGTCACTTTTAGGGTTCATCTATTAAATAATCTAAGAAGCACAAAATGCATTTTCATGGTGGTAGAAAGTAATACTCAGCAAGTGTGTGAGAGGACTGAAATCTCAATTTTTTAGTAGGTGTCAAAGGGCCTTTTTACCAATCAGTCTTTATGATTTTAGGACTTCAATTTTGTCCAACAATTTAATCTTTATAACATGTTTCCTTTTGATCATACCTTCAGGCTTTCTCAGATGATTTCATAGACTGTTTTCTTCAGCCCTTGACATGTAGGCATTGTGTCAAGAGTTTTATCACAGGTGTCCTTACAGCTGACAGAGCTAAGTCCTAGAACTCGCAAAGGTCTCCTCAGAAAGGCCACAGGCTCTGACTTGTTTTTAAATTTTATGGCCTCTCTATGTATAAAATGATAAACATGTGAGCTAAACTGTTTAGCTATGACAACACAAGTAACTTTTGGTATAGGCTTAGATAGATATGCAAAGTAGAAATGGCACAGAATTAAGAGCCCAGCCAAGATTTCCAGGCCTACTCTGCCACCCACTGTTCATGCACCTGGGGTAGGTGATGCCTTTGCATTCCTGAGCCCCATTGCCTCCTTGTTAGATAATATAAAGATTAAAAAATTATTTATGAACATACTTTCTATACAGTAAGGCACTCTTTAAATACTAGGTACTAGTGTTCATATTACATTTAAGTAATATTTAGTAGTTTTTTAAAGCTAATTTTAAACGTATTTCTTAAAGGTTTATCAAAAGTCTAGTTTTATGGATTTGGTAACAATTGTGTTATGATGGCTCCATTCTCTTATATTCCTTTTTTATTAATAACCATTAAACTAAGTCTTATGAAGCTCTACAAATAATACAGAATAAAGTACTCATGTCATTAATTGTTTACAAACATGCTCAGCAATAAAAAGTATAAGGCTTTGATGCAGAAGTAAAATTTAACTTTAAAAAATTCCTTGAAAAGGTCTTGTCCATATCCAGCCATAATGTGATGCTTATGTGCATCATCTTTATACCAATGTATTTCATGGATGGTGAACTGTGTGTTCATGCCTTTATGTTCTTTCAAATCCTCATAGAGGACATTGGCATTGTAGCCTTTTTTTGGTAGTAAAATATTTTTGTCTCTGAGTATTATAATTCAATTTGTAAGCCATGACCCCTAGTAAACTGCTTGTTATTACTCAGATTAATAAAGAGCCAATTTGCCATTGCAGCTCCGCCACTTGGGGAATGACGAGGTCCACATCGTCTGGTCTGAACACTCCAGGGACTACCGCAGGGGTATCATCCCAACTGCCTTTGGAGACGTTTCAATCATTATTTACCCAATAAAGAATCACATGTTTTTTATTGCAATAAGGAAGAAACCAGAGGTACATTTTCATGTTATTGACTGATTCATACAGCATTTGCTATGTGATTCACTGTTATTAAAAAACAATGATATAAATATATAAAAGGGAATTTTCCCCAAGTCATGAGTGTCTTACATATACCTGAATTACACATGCTATAGGAATTAAATATAAATTGGAATTTTCAAAGAATCCATCATGAGCACAGAATTCCATATTTTATTACTTAGCCTCTTTGAAAATATTTTTTAAATGTCTCACATTTTTTTAATTTTGTAATTTAAAAAAACTATAATTTTAAATGGGGCATTTTAATTAATAAGAAGAATTAAATGGATGACATCTCACATCTAGCATTTTGTGGATGGCTGTGGTTATAGAATTCAACCTTGCACAGTGGACAGGTACTGCTTATCCAGCCTCCAACTGCTGCTAGCAGGGCTTAGTTCTTAAGGATCATGGGCATATCCATGAAGAAGCTGGGCTTCTGTAGCACAGCCCATGTAATGACCTTTAACAGTTGAAGCACCTTGCCACAGAATCAATTCAACCATGTCAATTGGTATTGATCTTGGGAATAGCTGGAACAATCGGTAGTTATGTGCCATGTGCTAAATTTGCTGCAGTTTTGATCCTTACCATGTCTTTAGTGGTATTTAACTGTGCTTTATATAGTGACTTGTTTTTGTTTTGTAATTATTAATAGAATGGGTTTTATAAGTGTTTTAATTAAACATTTAATGTATTAAGTCACTCCTTAAAAAATGACTTGTTTTTTAAGCTCAATATTAAAAATAATCATTTATATTCCAAATTATTCTCCTAAAGGAATTAAAAGTTGCCATTCTAAATGCTCTCTACTTTTGAGCTTTTAAATAATAGGTATCTGAAATTTTCTGGAATATATAACCTAAAGTGTTAAAGTCAGGAGGATCAAATGAACTAAGAAATGAAAGGTGCTTTAAACAGTCCCTGGCACTGAGTAAAGCTATATAAATGTTAGTTATTATTATTATTATTGCCATTATTTTTTGTTATAGTTACTAACATAAAAACAGAAGAAATAATGAATCTTAAGTTTAACATGATTATTTCTCAGACTAGATGTATTATTCAGTCACTCCTGAATTCAGAATGGTCCCACTCTGGCTGATGAGAAACCCGACATATAAAGGGTTCCTCTTTTCTATTCAGGGAGCAAAGATGCCCAAAGTTTTTGTTTTTATTTTTTACTTTATTTTTATTTTATTTATTTATCTTTAGAAGGGAAGGGAAGGAGAGAGGGAGAGAAATATCAATGTACGGTTGCTTCTCATGCACCCCCTGCTGGGAACTGACCCCCCCCTTCTGGGAACTGGCCTGCAACCCAGGCATGTGCCCTGACCGGGAATTGAACTGCAATCTTTTGGTTCTCAGGCCTGTGCTCAGTCCACTGAGCTATACCAGCCAGGGCACTGTTTTTAATATATTTTATTGATTATGCCATTACAGTGTCCCATTCCCCCCCTTCATTCCCCTCCACCCTGCACACCCCCTCCCACCCACATTGCCCCCCTTTAATTCATGTCCATGTGTCATAAGTTCTTTAGCTTCTACATTTCCCATACTATTCTTATCCTCCCCCTGTCTATTTTCTACCTACCATCTATGCTACTTAATCTCTGTACCTTTTTCCCCCTTCTCCTCCTCCCACTCCCCTGTTGCTAACCCTCCATGTGATCTCCATTTCTGTGGTTCTTTTCCTGTTCTACTTGTTTGCTTTTGTTTTAGGTGTGGTTGTTAATATCTTTGAGTTTGCTGTCTTTTTACTGTACATGTTTTTTTATCTTTTTCTTAGATAAGTCCCTTTAACATTTGATATAATAAGGGCTTGGTGATGATGAACTTCTTGAACTTGACCTTATCTGAGAAGCGCTCTATCTGCCCTTCCATTCTAAATGAAAGCTTTGCTGGATAGAGCAATCTTGGATGTAGGTCCTTCCCTTCATGACTTGGAATACTTGATTCTAGCCCCTTCTTGCCTGTAAAGTGTCTTTTGAGAAATCGCTGACAGTCTGATGGGAACTCCTTTGTAGGTGACTGTCCCCTTATCTCTTGCTATCTCTAGAATTCTCTCCTTCATTTTAATCTTGGCTAATGTAATTATGATGTGCTTTGGTGTGTTCCTCTTTGAGTCCACCTTCTTTGGGACTCTCTGAGCTTCCCAGACTTCCTGGAAGTCTATTTCCTTAGATTGGGGAAGTTCTCCTTTATTATTTGTTCAAATAAGTTTTCCACTTGTTGCTCTTCCTCATCCCCTCTGGTACCCCTATAATTTGGGTGTTGGAACGTTTAAAGATGTCCTGGAGGTTCCTAAGCCTCTCCTCATATTTTTGAATTCTTGTTTCTTCATTCTTTTCTGTTTGGTTTTTTCTTTCTTCCATCTGGTCCACTCTATTGATGTGAATCCCAGTTTCTTTTCCATCACTATTGGTTCCCTGTGCATTCTCTTTCATTTCACTTAGTATAGGCTTCATTTTTTCATCTAATTTGCAACCAAAATCAACCAGTTCTGTGAGCATCCTGATCACCAGTGCTTTGATCTGTTCATCCGATAGGTTGGCTATCTGTTTGTCTCTTAGTTGTACATGCACTGGAGCTTTGATATATTCTTCCATTTGGGCCATTTTATTTTTTGGTCTGATTGCACCTGTTATGTAGTGAGTGGTGGAGCCTTAGGTGTTCACCAGGGCAGGGCACGCCTGCGCCCTCCCCCCCAGTTGCTGGGTTGTGATGCTATATGTGGGGGTGGAGTCAGAGAGGGAACAGTGGTGCTGTCTTCTCTTTCTCTCGGATTTTGGTCCCCTCTGCCACTTCCCACAAGCAAATTGGGCCATTCTGGTGCTGGTTCCCAGGTGGGTGGGCTTGTGTACATTCTAGGAGGCTGGGAGTCTCTCCCAGCACCTCAGCTCCCAAAAGTGTTTTCAATGGGTGCTTTTAGGCTTTATTTCTCGGCGCTGGGGCCCTAGCTCAGTCTGTCTCACTGCCCGTTTTTGCCTGGCTTATCTGCACATGAATGTGGGACTGTGGTCAGCCAGCCACCTTGGTCACTTCACTGGGTCTGCTCCTTGCCACCCTGAGCCCGGGGTCTGCCAGCCACCGCCACCAGCGAGTCCAGGTCTCCAGCCACGGCTTTTTCCTGCTGGGACCCCTCTCCGCCGACTCCACCCGCTGACTCCACCCCTCTTACTGGTCTGGATGAATGGTTGTCGGACTTCCATACAGTTCAGTTTTCTGTCAGTTCTGGTTGTTATTTTGTTTCTAATTTTTTGTTGCCCTTAATTTTGGTTGTGTGAGGAGGCACAGTATTTCTACCTACTCCTCCATCTTGGCTGGAAGCCTCATGTTAAGTATATGTATTATCTTTTATTCAGGTTTCTGTGTATGTGAGGTTTTTGCTTTTTAATAAGAAAATGCTCTTAGTGCTAATAACATTTTTATTTATCTACAAAGACCACTACTTTAATTTTTAAAACTAAGCTGAAAAGTTTAGTATTAGACAATCAATAAATTTAGTATCTGGTAGTTTTTATAACTGGAAAATGTGTTTCTTTAATATTTAGTATGGATTAATTTGGCTTAATTAGTTCATTCTCAACCTGCTTCTCTAAAATGTCACTTGATATTTTTTAAAATGTTGATTTTATTTCTATAATATATAAAATATATACATTTATAATGCATGAAAACAAATATTAACATACCTTTTAAAATTTCTTTTAAAAATATATGTTACTTATATAAATTTGGTCATAAATTATGACAAGATGAATTGAGCAAGTCACATTTTTAATATTTTAATTTTAAAAGCCTAAAAGGAAGAAGAAAATAATGGTCAACTAGAAATTTAGTGTTATCCTATATTTAAAGTACAAACCATTACAATGTAATAAAATTAATCCAGACATTTCCAGGGCAAGTGTGGCTGACCTTTTGTTCACCAACCACTGACCCCAGGGTGAATGCAAGAGGCTTGTGGAGGGAAAGTCTGTTTGTTTGGCTTCAGTCCCTGGTATTTAAATTGCATTCCCTAATCAAATGAAAAGGCTGTCCTCTCTATCAGGTTACAGAATCCATGGCAACATTTGGCCTTTTATATCCATAATGTTAGCCTTTTTGTTTGCATCTAAGTAGAGACACCTGGAGCAATGTTAACATTAACCGATTTAGCATTAATAGCTTCATTATATAAGAATTTCTGATCAGATAGCTGTTACTTTTGTTATATTGCTCCAGCTTGTATTGTCATTTTTTATCTCTCTGCTTGGCAACCAGGCAGTGATTTGCAAATTTTTTTTGTCTTGATTAATTAAGCAATATAATTATCAGTAACTGTGATGCAGTCTTTGCTCAACAAAGCTTCTGGGAGAAAACAATGGTCAGTCTGTTAGTGTGAATGCATTCCACGCGTCCCAGATGCATGAGGATATTACGGACAATGAGGGGAAAGGCCGCCTGTGAGCGAGGACAAAGGGTGCCATGCAGACTCAACACACTGCACATACCGCCAGGGACATGCTGCAGGCTCCCTGGGACACAGACGCCTCGTTAGATTACAGCTAGTCAGCAGAGATTAATTCTTAGCCATTTGGTGCAATAATTTACCCATTCCCTAGTCTTTTAACTAGTGCTCCTTACTATGAAAGTGAAGGCTTTGTGTTCAGAAGGTTTATTTAACCTTCCCTACTTTGAGAGATTGCCACCAAAAATCATTATTTTTGCTTAGAAATTATAATGACACAGCTGCTTGAAGTTCAGTAATATTCTTTTGGGAGGATGGGATATGTACAAGTGTCAAAAATTCTAAGTAGAGTCCAAGCCATTCTCTCAGCACCTGTATGTTTCATTTGAATACAGTGTGACTCAGTAGTCTAAGTGCATTTATTTTACTGGTGTCTGGGAAGCCATACTTCTCTAAGAATAATTTTAATCCTTTTTTTAGGCAGAAAGAAAAAACCTCATCAGTACACAAAAAGTCC